CTATCTCACCCAGTAACTCACCCACTCAATCATTGACTCACTCACCATCTCATCCACTTTCTCACCCACTCAATCATTGACTCACTCACCAACTTACCCATTCACTTACCTACTCACCCACTAAATTATTGACTCACTAGCCATCTCACCCACTTTCTCAACCATTCAGTCATTGACTCAGTCACCATCTCATCCACTCACCCAATAATTAATTCAATCATTGACTCACTCACATATCACCCACTAAATCATTGACTCACTCACTCACCATCTCACCCACTCACGCACTCAATCATTTACTCACTCGCCATGTCACCTACAGTGAGGGAAAAAAAGTATTTGATCCCCTGTTGATTTTGTACGTTTGCCCACTAACAAAGAAATGATCAGTCTATAATTTTAATGGTAGGTTTATTTGAACAGTGAGAGACAGAATAACAAGAAGAAAATCCAGAAAAACGCATGTCAAAAATGTTATAAATTGATTGCATTTTAATGAGGGAAATAAGTATTTGACCCCACTGCAAAATATGACTTTGTACTTGGTGGCAGAACCCTTGTTGGCAATCACAGAGGTCAGATGTTTCTTGTAGTTGGCCACCAGGTTTGCACACATCTCAGGAGGAATTTTGTCCCACTCCTCTTTGCAGATCTTCTCCAAGTCATTAAGGTTTCGAGGCTGATGTTTGGCAACTCGAACCTTCAGCTCCCTCCACAGATTTTCTATGGGATTAAGATCTGGAGACTGGCTAGGTCACTCCAGGACCTTAATGTGATTTTTCTTGAGCCACTCCGTTGTTGCCTTGGCCGTGTGTTTTGGGTCATTGTCATGCTGGAATACCCATCCACGACCCATTTTCAATGCCCTGGCTGAGGGAAGGAGGTTCTCACCCAAGATTTGACGGTACATGGCCCCGTCCATCGTCCTTTTGATACTGTGAAGTTGTTCTGTCCCCTTAGCAGAAAAACACCCCCAAAGCATAATGTTTCCACCTCCATGTTTGACGGTGGGGATGGTGTTCTTGGGGTCATAGGCAGCATTCCTCCTCCTCCAAACACGGCGAGTTGAGTTGATGCCAAAGAGCCTCATTTTTGTCTCATCTGACCACAACACTTTCACCCAGTTGTCCTCTGAATCATTCAGATGTTCATGGGCAAACTTAAAACGGGCATGTATATGTGCTTTCTTGAGCAAGGGGACCTTGCGGGCGCTGCAGGATTTCGGTCCTTCACGGCGTAGTGTGTTACCAATTGTTTTCTTGGTGACTATGGTCCCAGCTGCCTTGAGATCATTGACAAGATCCTCCCGTGTAGTTCTGGGCTGATCCTCACCGTTCTCATGATCATTGCAACTCCACGAGGTGAGATCTTGCATGGAGCCCCAGGCCGAGGGAGATTGACAGTTCTTTTGTGTTTCTTCCATTTGCGAATAATCGCACCAACTGTTGTCACCTTCTCACCAAGCTGCTAGGCAATGGTCTTGTAGCCCATTGCAGCCTTGTGTAGGTCTACAATCTTGTCCCTGACATCCTTGGAGAGCTCTTTGGTCTTGGCCATGGTGGAGAGTTTGGAATCTGATTGATTGAATGCTTCTGTGGACAGGTGTCTTTCATACAGGTAACAAGCTGAGATTAGGAGCACTCGCTTTAAGCGTGTGCTCCTAATCTCAGCTCGTTATCTATATAAAGGACACCTGGGAGCCAGAAATCTTTCTGATTGAGAGGGGGTCAAATACTTATTTCCCTCATTAAAATGCAAATCAATTTATAACATTTTTGACATGCGTTTTTCTGGATTTTTTTGTTCAAATAAACCTACTCACCATCTCACCCACTCACCCACCCATCCATCCACTCAATCATTGACTAACTCACCATCTCACCCACTCAACCACCCATCCATCCACTCAACCATTTACTAATTCACCATCTCACCCACTCACCCACCCATCCATCCACTCAACCATTTGCTAACTCACCATCTCACCCACTCACCCACCCATCCATCTACTCAACCATTTGCTAACTCACCATCTCACCCACTCAACCACCCATCCATCCACTCAACCATTTGCTAACTCACCATCTCACCCACTCACCCAACCCATCCATCCACTCAATCATTGACTAACTCACCATCTCACCCACTCACCCACCCATCCATCCACTCAACCATTTGCTAACTCACCATCTCACCCACTCACCCACCCATCCATCCACTCAACCATTTACTAACTCACCATCTCACCCACTCATCCACCCATCCATCCACTCAACCATTTATTAATTCACCATCTCACCCACTCACCCACCCATCCATCCACTCAATCATTTACTAACTCACCATCTCACCCACTCACCCACCCATCCATCCACTCAATCATTGACTAACTCACCATCTCACCCACTCAACCACCCATCCATCCACTCAACCATTTACTAACTCACCATCTCACCCACTCACCCACGCATCCGTCCACTCAATCATTGACTAGCTCACCATATCACCCACTCACCCACCCATCCATCTACTCAACCATTTGCTAACTCACCATCTCACCCACTCACCCACCCATCCATCCACTCAATCATTTACTAACTCACCATCTCACCCACTCAACCACCCATCCATCCACTCAACCATTTGCTAACTCACCATCTCACCCACTCACCCACGCATCCATCCACTCAATCATTGACTAACTCACCATCTCACCAACTCAACCACCCATCCATCCACTCAACCATTTACTAACTCACCATCTCACCCACTCATCCACCCATCCATCCACTCAACCATTTATTAACTCACCATCTCACCCACTCACCCACCCATCCATCCACTCAATCATTTACTAACTCATCATCTCACCCACTCACCCACCCATCCATCCACTCAATCATTGACTAACTCACCATCTCACCCACTCAACCACCCATCCATCCACTCAACCATTTACTAACTCACCATCTCACCCACTCACCCACGCATCCATCCACTCAATCATTGACTAACTCACCATCTCACCCACCCATCCATCTACTCAACCATTTGCTAACTCACCATCTCACCCACTCACCCACCCATCCATCCACTCAATCATTGACTAACTCACCATCTCACCCACTCAACCACCCATCCATCCACTCAACCATTTGCTAACTCACCATCTCACCCACTCACCCACCCATCCATCCACTCAACCATTTGCTAACTCACCATCTCACCCACTCACCCACTAACTCAACCATTGACGCCCGCTCGCTCGCTCGCTCCCTGCACTCGTGGGGGGGGGGGGGGGGTCCCTCGTGCAAGCGAGGCTCTCACCCTGGTGCCCTCGAGTTCCCCATCTCCGCTTAAACCAAATGAACTTGACACAGGCGAGGCGCCGAGCGAGCTATCCGTGCCCACCACGCCTTAGCTAAACAGCGCGAGCCTCAGATATCGTTACCCTGGTCACGAGCCTCGTGTGTGTGTGTTTGTGTTTACACATGCGCCAAATAATGTCCACTGTTTGCCGCTTAAGCAACCCTCATTCAGGTAAACACTGGCGCAGAGAATTGCCCATTCCACTTCCCCGTCTTCTTACGATGTGAACTATGAACACATTTTTTTAATTAGTGTACCAGGTTAAGTCCCCACTGAGCTACGGGAGCTCTTTATGAGAAGCGACCTGGCTGTCGCAAGTGATGGCTCAGCGGAGGTGTCTCATCATCGTCATCATCGTGTGTCAATGTATAGGCAGCAGCTAAACATTCTACGAAGGTGAGACGTCGTTGATTCTAAAACGTGGAAGGGGAAACACCGGAGGACTCGGAAGAAAAATCCACACGACCACAGCAGGAGAGAGAGAGACACGCAAACTCTAAATATACAGCAGCAGCAGGCGTCGTCAGGGCCGGGATCGAACCCACGACCTCCTGTATACCAGGCGAGGTAGTTAACATCTCCTAGCCACCGTGATGATGATGAGAGAGAGAGACACGCAAACTCCAAATATACAGCAGCAGGCGTCAGGGTCTGGATCGAACCCACGACCTCCTGTATACCAGGCGAGGTAGTTAACATCTCCTAGCCACCGTTATGATGAGAGAGAGACACGCAAACTCCAAATATACAGCAGCAGGCTTCAGGGTCTGGATCGAACCCACGTCCTCCTGTATACCAGGCGAGAGAGTTAACATCTCCTAGCCACCGTGATGATGATGAGAGAGATACACGCAAACTCCAAATATACAGCAGCAGCAGCCTTCAGGGTCTGGATCGAACCCACGTCCTCCTGTATACCAGGCGAGGGAGTTAACATCTCACCATGGGGAAGAGAGAGTTAGACGCAAACTCCAAATATACAGCAGGCGTCAGGGTCGGGATCGAACCCATGAACCTCCTGTACACCGGGCGAAGGAGTTAATATCTCACCATGTTGGAGGAGAGAGATAGACGCACAAACTCCAAACATACAGCAGCAGGCGTTAGGGTCGGGATCGAACTCACGACCTCCTGTATACCAAGCGAGGTAGTTAACATTTCCTAGCCACCGTGATGATGATGAGAGAGAGAGACACGCAAACTCCAAATATACAGCAGCAGGCGTCGTCAGGGTGGGGATCGACACCCACGAACCTCCTGTATACCAGGCAAGGTAGTTAACATCTCACCATGGTGAAGAGAGAGACGCAAACTCCAAATATAAATCAGGCGTCAGGGTCCGGATTAAACCCATGAACCTCCTGTACACTAGGCCAGGTATTTAACATCTCACCATGGGGAGCAGAGGGAGAGAGAGAAACGCACAAACTCCAAATATACAGCAGCAGGCGTCGTCAGGGTGGGGATCGACACCCACGAACCTCCTGTACACCAGGCGAGGTAGTTAACATCTCCTAGCCACCCGTGGCCCTGGCGGTGGCAGAGGAGCCAGGGAGGAGGGGGAGAGGAGGCAAGGCCAGGGCCGCAACATGAAAGGGAGGTTTGGAGGAGGAGGAGGAGGGGATGGGGAGCATTGGGGGGGTTTCAAAATGCATGGCCTGTCAACGCACTCCCCTAGCAACAAACTGTTTGTGAATGCCAGGGGGAAGAGGGTTGGGTGGTGGAGTGAGAGGCGAGCAGTAAGAGAGAGAGAGCGAGAGAGCGAGAGAGAGCCACCCTCGAACAGAGAGACATCCAGACAGGGCCCGTCGCTCATTGCGCAACTGAAGCCCCGTGCCGTCCGCGCGATAATCGTCGCTCGTTGGTGTCGCGAGGCTCCCCACACCACCACCACCACCTTGACCCTACAGCTCACGAGGGGGGGGGGCACGGTTTGAGACAGGGACAAGGTGGACGGAGGGAGGAAGGACGCGAGACACACACGGAGAGAGAGAGGGGAGAGAGCGAGAGGAGAGAGAGATCGGGGAATCATGAGCGCATCAACCGACGGGTGAGTGTCCGAGTCGAACCCCCCCCTCCCCACCCCCCCCTCCCCACATCGCCGAGCATCGTCGTGACCAATCCACTGCTGGATGAAGGCGACCGCAGTGCCACTCCTCGTGGGACGCCCTCGTCCCGCGCGCGTTCAGCTGCCGCTCCGTGCTGGGCCTCGAACCCCGGCCGCCAGCTGCCTCGCTCGTGGCCGTGCCCGTGCGGGGTTCCTGGAGCCTCGCTCGCTCCTTTGCACTGCGTGGATTCAGTGGTTCTGCTTCACCTGGGGGATGCGTGTCACCCACCCACTGGGGGGGGGGGGGGGGGGGTGCGTGTGAGTGTGTTGGTCTCTATGTGAGTCTATGGGTCTCTGTGTGAGCTTATGAGTCGCAGTGTGAGTTTGTGAGTCTCTATGTGAGTCTATGAGCATCTGTGTGAGTCTATGTGTCCCTATGTGATTATATGGGTGTCTAGGTGAGTCTATGGGTCTCTGTGTGAGTTTATGAGTCTGTGTAAGGTTATGAGTCTCTATGTGAGTCTATTGGTCTCTATATGATTACATGGGTCTCTATGTGAGTCTATGGGTCTCTGTGTGAGTTTATGCGTCTGTGTGAGTATATGGGTCTCTGTGTGAGCTTATGAGTCGCAGTGTGAGTTTGTGAGTCTCTATGTGAGTCTATGGGTCTATGTGTGAGTTTATGAGTCGGTGTGAGTATATGGGTCTCTATGTGAGTCTATGAGTATCTGTGTGAGTCTATGTGTCCCTATGTGATTATATGGGTCTCTATGTGAGGCTATGGGTCTCTGTGTGAGTCTATGAGTAGCTGTGTGAGTCTATGTGTCTCTATGTGATTTTTGGGTCTCTATGTGAGACGATGGATCTCTGTGTGAGTTTATGAGTCGTAGTGTGAGTTTGTGAGTCTTTTATGTGAGTCTCTTGAGTCTTTATCTGATTCTATGGGTCTATGTGTGAGTTTATGAGTCTGTGTGAGTTCATGGGTCTCTATGTGAGTCTATGAGTATCTGTGTGAGTCTATGTGTCCCTATGTGATTTTATGGGTCTCTATGTGAGTCTATGGGTCTCTGTGTGAGTTTATGAGTCTGTGTGAGTATATGGGTCTCTATGTGACTCTATGAGTAGCTGTGTGAGTCTATGTGTCTCTATGTGATTTTTGGGGCACTATGTGAGTCGATGGATCTCTGTGTGAGTTTATGAGCCGTAGTGTGAGTTTGTGAGTCTTTATGTGAGTCTATGAGTATCTGTGTGAGTCTATGGATCACTATGTGAGTCTATTGGTCTCTATGTGACTATATAGGTCACTATGTGAGTCTATGGGTCACTATGTGAGTCTATGGGTCTCTGTGTGAGTTTGTGAGTCTCTATGTGAGTCTATGAGTATGAGTGTGAATCTATGGGTAACTATGTGAGTCTATTAGTCTCTATGTGATTATATGGGTCTCTATGTGAGACTATGGGTCTCTGTGTGAGTCTATGAGTAGCTGTGTGAGTCTATGTGTCTCTATGTGATTTTTGGGTCTCTATGTGAGCCGATGGATCTCTGTGTGAGTTTATGAGTCGTAGTGTGAGTTTGTGAGTCTTTTATGTGAGTCTATGAGTCTTTATCTGAGTCTATGGGTCTATGTGTGAGTTTATGAGTCTGTGTGAGTTCATGGGTCTCTATGTGAGTCTATGAGTATCTGTGTGAGTCTATGTGTCCCTATGTGATTTTATGGGTCTCTATGTGAGTCTATGGGTCTCTGTGTGAGTTTATGAGTCTGTGTGAGTATATGGGTCTCTATGTGAGTCTATGAGTAGCTGTGTGAGTCTATGTGTCTCTATGTGATTTTTGGGGCACTATGTGAGTCGATGGATCTCTGTGTGAGTTTATGAGCCGTAGTGTGAGTTTGTGAGTCTTTATGTGAGTTTATGAGTATCTGTGTGAGTCTATGGATCACTATGTGAGTCTATTGGTCTCTATGTGACTATATAGGTCACTATGTGAGTCTATGGGTCACTATGTGAGTCTATGGGTCTCTGTGTGAGTTTGTGAGTCTCTATGTGAGTCTATGAGTATGAGTGTGAATCTATGGGTAACTATGTGAGTCTATTAGTCTCTATGTGATTATATGGGTCTCTGTGTGAGTCTATGGGTCTCTGTGTGAGTCTATGAGTAGCTGTGTAAGTCTATGTGTCTCTATGTGATTTTTGGGTCTCTATGTGAGTCGATGGATCTCTGTGTGAGTTTATGAGTCGTAGTGTGAGTTTGTGAGTCTTTCATGTGAGTCTATGAGTCTCTATGTGAGTCTATGGGTCTATGTGTGAGTTTATGAGTCTGTGTGAATGCATGGGGCTCTATGTGAGTCTATGAGTATCTGTGTGAGTCTCTGTGTCCCTATGTGATTATATGGGTCTCTATGTGAGGCTATGGGTCTCTGTGTGAATTGATGAGTCTGTGTGAGTTTATGGGTCTCTATGTGAGTCTATAAGTAGCTGTTTGAGTATATGTGTCTCCATGTGATTTTTGGGTCACTATGTGAGTCGATGGATCTCTGTGTGAGTTTATGAGTCGAAAGTGTGAGTTTGTAATTCCTCATGTGAGTCTATGAGTATCTGTGTGAGTGTATGGATTACTGTGTGAGTCAATTGGTCTTTATGTGACTATATAGGACACTATGTGAGTCTACTGGTCTCTATGTAATTATGTGGGTCTCTATGTGAGTCTATGGGTCTCTGTGTGAGTCTATGAGTAGCTGTGTGAGTCTATTGGTCTCTACGTGACTATATGGGTCTCTATGTGAGTCTATGGGTCTCTTTGTGAGTTTGTGAGTCTCTATATGAGTCTATGAGTATGTTTGTGAGTCTATGGGTAACTATTTGAGTCTATCAGTCTCTATGTGATTATATGGGTCTTTATGTGAGTCTATGGGTCACTGTGGAGTCTATGAGTAGGTGTGTGAGTCTATGTGTCTCTATGTGATTTTTGGTTCTCTATATGAGTCAATGGAACTCTGTGTGAGTTTATGAGTCGTAGTGTGAGTTTGTGAGTATTTATGTGAGTCTATGAGTATCTGTATGAGTCTATGGGTCACTATGTGAGTCTATTGGTCTCTATGTGACTATATGGGTCTCTATGTGAGTCTATGGGTCTCTGTTTCTGTTTGTGAGTCTCTATGTGAGTCTATGAGTAGGTGTGTGAGTCTATGGGTAACTATGTGAGTCCATTAGTCTCTATGTGATTATATGGGTCTCTATGTAAGTCTATGGGTCTCTGTGTGAGTCTATGAGCAGCTGTGTGAGTCTATGTGTCTCTATGTGATTTTTGGGTCTCTATGTGAGTCGATGGATCTCTGTGTGAGTTTATGAGTCGTAGTGTGAGTTTTGTGAGTCTTTATGTGAGTCTATGAGTATCTGTGTGAGTCTATGGGTCACTATGTGAGTCTATTGGTCTCTATGTGACTATATTGGGCTCTATATGAGTATATGGGTCTCTGTGTGAGTTTGTGAGTCTCTATGTGAGTCTATGAGTATGTGTGTGAGTCTATGGGTAACTATGTGAGTCTCTTAGTCTCTATGTGATTATATGGGTCTCTATGTGAGTCTATGGGTCTCTGTGTAAGTCTATGAGTAGCTGTGTGAGTCTATGTGTCTCTATGTGATTTTAGGGTCTCTATGTGAGTCGATGGATCTCTGTGTGAGTTTATGAGTCGTAGTGTGAGTTTGTGAGTCTTTATGTGAGTCTTTGAGTCCCTATGTGAGTCTATGGGTCTATGTGTGAGTTTATGAGTCTGTGTGAGTTTATGGGTCTCTATGTGACTCTATGAGTATCTGTATGAGTCTATGTGTCCCTATGTGATTATATGGGTCACTATGTGAGTCTATGGTTCTCTGTGTGAGTTTATGAGTCTGTGTGAGTTTATGGGTCTCTATGTGAGTCTATGAGTATCCATGTGAGTCTATGTGTCTTTATGTGAGTCTATGGACATTTGTATGAGTCTCTGTGTCTCTATGTGAGTCTATTGGTCCCTCCGTGATTATATGCGTCTCTACGTGAGTTTATGGTTCTCTGTGTGAGTCTGTTAGTCTCTGTGTGAGTCTATGTGTCTCTTTCTGAGTCTATGAGTCTCTGTGTGAGTTTATGGGTCGTTATGTGAGTCTATAAGTATCTATGTGTCTCTATGTGGGTCTATGGGTATTTGTGTAAGTCTCTGTGTCTCTATGTGAGTCTATTGGTCTCTATGTGATTATATGGGTCTTTATGTGAGTCTATGGGTTTCTGTGTGAGTTTATGAGTCTCTGTGTGAGTTCATGGATCTCTATGTGAGTTTATGTGTCTCTATGTACGTCTGTTGGTCCCTTCGTGAATATATGGGTCTCTTTGTGAGGTCATAGGTCTCTGTGTGAGTTTATGAGTCTCTGTGTTAGTTTATGGGTCTCTATGTGAGTCAATGAGTATATGTGTGAGTCTATTTGTCTCTATGTGAGTCTATGACTATTTGTGCGAGTCTATGTGTCTCTCTGTAAGTCTATGGGTATTTGTGTGAATATACGGGTCTCTGTGTGAGTCTATTGTTCTCTATATGATTATATGGGTCTCTATGTGAGTCTGTGTTTCTGTGTGAGTCTGTGGGTCTCCGTGTGACTGACTGGTGACCGGGCTGAGACCATCAACTCCCTGCACTAGAGACACCCGGTTTAACCACAAGGGCAGTGGCTGAGACCCAGATTCGATCCCAGAGTCTGAGCGGTGCCGGCTCTTAGCGCCTCTGACCTCTGAGCCACCTGGTAGCCACCCCTTTATCCGGGTCCTGTTGTTGCCAGACGCTTGGTCGGCCTTCTGATAGAATTCCACCCCCCCCTCCCCCCACTGCTACAACTTTACGATAGAATGTCGCGTAATGACTTAATAGCGGGACGCGTGGCGGCTTGCTCTGACTTGCATCTCAATATCCCACCCCCACCTCGCGTTAGGTAACTTAATCGGAGCTTAGAAACGTGCGTCTAGATTATTTAGACTGTCT